GCACAAATGTCTTGCGGATAAAGAGTAAACATAAAAATTAACTTGGCCAGGAGAGTGGGGGGAGGGAGTGGGGAGGCGCGGGATTTCATGGCCCAATGAAATGGCCAGCTGAAGAACTAATAAACATCGGCAGCGGCGAACAGCCACAAGAAATGGCTTGAAAATATAGTTCATAGGCATTGTGATTGCCTTCAATAAATTGCAAATAATTTCGACCTCATTTCGTCGGGCTAGCCACACGGTCACGGACAACGCCCCACAACACCTCGGTCCCTCCTTTGGGCCGGCCACCTCCGCACGGATCCAAGCCGGCGCTGCGTGATATAATTTCTGAGATCTATAGACAGATCGCAGCAGTACGGTGGAGCGGAGAGTTCGCTCCAAAATATTTCCAGACCACGCACATGCTCGGATTTAGTGCGCCGTCATAAATTTTCCTGCGACTCCGTTCGACTTCTTTTTAATTAAAATGCTATCAAATGTCAAGTTTACATGGCCGGAGCGCCAGCTGCGCCGGAGTGGAGATCGGAGTGAAGCCGGCGGAGTCGAGGAGCTGGCAAAAGCAAAGCAAACACTTGTCATCTTGACAGGCCAAACAAAGCGTGACAGACGCAGGGAGATCGGGCAGGGATTCGTGGTGGGGGAAAGGGGAGATCCGGGGCCTAACGAGGGTCATTCAATGAGTTGGGCTGCAGTTCGCATTTGCATAGGATACCCACACAGAGACGGAGTGGGGACGGAGGCGCAGACGCCGGCGGAGGCAGTGCACCTGGCAAATGTGGGCTCCACTCGTGGACGCGAACTCGGACATGTTTAAGTAATTGCGCGCGTGCGTGGTGGCAAACAATTGAGACACACTGTGTACACACTGGGCCATTGGTATGGCTTTGTTTTTGTTTTGGCCTGGGCTTTGGTCTTGGCCCGGGCTTCAACCTGGTCTTTTGGGCTTTGTCTGGCTTTGTCTGTTGATAGTTTGGCGGCGATAAGCGCGACATGTCAGCGTCAGCTCGAGATTCAGATTCAGCTTCAGCTTTAGCTTCGTGGCAGCTTTAGATTTCGAGCACAATATATTTTGTCAGCCCAAACGGTGTACATAATAGCCCAGAGATAAGATTGTAATGGGCCGGTTAAGCGGCTCATAAATCATTGGCATGGAAATTGCTTTTCCATGATAGACAACTTGTTAGCCACTCGCCGCAGTGACTTCCGCACGGCGAGGCGAAACTTGCAAACTAAGTCATTTTAAGCAGCACTTTTCACTTTCCGCTAAACACTCGACATCCGCTTGGATCCGAATCCAATCCCATCGCATGGCCGGCGGGACGAAAATCGGTGAAAAGTTCATTTAGAAAACAAACAAACAAAAACTTAAACTCATTTTCATAACAGCCACCGCCACCGGTCAGCATCGTGAATGTGCAGCTTTTTTTTTTGTGGATTATTTTTATTTGTCTTTCTTTCTTCTGGGGGCCAGTATGTGGTGTGCTTTGGTATGGTATGCGCTTCCTGCGTTGATTTCTTGCTAGAAATATGCTGGGAAATCTAGCGCCAAGTGGAGAAAATACCCGTCGAAAGGAATTTCGAAAAATGTATAGCAAAAGTGTTACAAACGAGCAGTCAAAGGTAAACAAGGAAGCCAAGAAGACTCTGGGGCTGAGTAAATAACACAGCTAGAATTCTCAAACTATATTTGCTTTGTGCATAGCTATAAATTATTTGCTAGGTTTATTTGCTTTTAGTCATCTTTCATTTTAGTATTATGACTTCCGTTTGGCTATCTGTTGGACTTAAGCCGTCTAAATGATTGGTGAGTTTATGTACGATGAACGATTTTATTTGGTAAGCTACCAAATGATTCATGAAGTATTTTATTTTTTATTTGAATAATCATATAAAGACTAAATTAATATGACAGAAGATCGTTGTATTCTAAGATCACATACACTCATAAAAATATTTTTATGTATATGACAGGAAATGTCCTAAAGCTAAGGATGTTTTTCTAGAATTAGTACAAAGTTTTAATGAATAAAACAAATAAAGTAAAATTCTTTATTAAGAGTATTAAAAATATATTTAATTTCGAACCTGTACAGTTAAGCCAAATCCTGCATTTCCATTGATTTATGAATTGGTATTAACAAGGTTAACAAACCTACATATATCAATTTATCCTAAAATATAATCAAATAATACATTTTCGTATTCACAAGACACCAATTCGACATAGTTGACAAAAAACTATTCCCTTTGTGGTATTTCCGCCACGGACTGTCCGCTTGACAATACAAAGTCCGCCGCAAGGGCATGTAAAGTGCCAAAAAAAAAAAAATCAAGAAAAAAGAAATCAAATTCCACTCCTTGTGATTGTGCGGTAAGGGGGCAGCTGCTCCCCGACTACGTATACAAATTTCCTTCTGTATATAATATGATTGATTGCCCCGTTGACCTGGAAACGTAGGAAACTAATAGTTACACTTAACAATGGGACCAGGGGACAGTGGAGCCCCACGATCTTACACATACTTGCGCTACAAGCGAGCTCCACAAGGAAAAATGGGTCAAGCGGGGCGAGAAGATGAAATTGTAAGCGCCCACTCTGCCGATACATACCATACCAGGTGCTGCAGTTTGGGGGGAAGGATGAGGGAATACAGGTAGCTGCGGTGGCTGCAACACCTTGAGAGGAATTCGAGCGATCCGAAAAAAGAAAATACAAACAGGCTGCTGCCACATGACGTGGCGTTATTTTCGGCTATTCGGCATCTGGGCAGTTGACGAAAGCGGCAAGTTAATGAGCTGCCCCCGATCTTTGTTATTCCCTGATTACTAGCTTTTTTACATTATTATACGTGTGTTGTGCCCGCCCCCCCGTTTTCCCCCACCCGAGTTGACGAATTCAATTTCACTTTTCCCAAGTGGAGCCTGGCGTTGTCAGGCCATCGTCATGCTAGTTGAGCGCAGAACAAAAGACTCGGGCAGCGAACTTGTTTCGGTTGTTTCGGCCACCGACACACACTGGGCCAAGGGGGTAATTAAAAAACCGTTAATATCGGAACCACTCTCATCGTTGCCCGGGTGTCAAATCAAACATAAAAAGAAATTATTAAAAATTCATAAAAGGCAGAATATACGTTACGAGTGTTGGTCCCCAAAAATAGATGTGAACAAAATTGAAATTTTGGGCGGGATGAATGTGAGAAAAGCCAGCGGAGGTACGCCATAAAATGCAAAACAGATAGCCCGGGTAATGTTCCCCCCTGCCCCCACTGAAGGTCTCCCCGAAAATGTAGCGTTAAGTGTTCAATGGCCAGAAAACGGCATTAAGCCATAAAATCGTATCGAAAGAGAAAGAGCCAAAAGAAATGCTCAGAGGAGCCAGGCCAAATATCCCACAACCGCACAGACACAGTCGCAGCTAGCACACAAAAAGCGAAAGAAACGATTGATGGAGTTCAAATGCATATTGATTGACGTTGAAACGCTCTAAATGGAGCACGGCTCCGAGAGGCAGGTGCAAGTTGGCCGGCTGCCGCTGCCCCGGCCGTCTTGTGGCTAATAAGTGGCATGAATTAGTGAAACGCTTATGGGGGTCAGGTCGTTGCGGCACGCCACTCAATGAACTGTTTACGGGGAGTTGACCGCGCTGCCAGTCGAAAGGCTTTTAAGAGAAACAGTCGCCGTCGCAGTTTGAGATCAATGGGCCATTGAGGCGAATCGAAATCGTAAATTCGAAATCATTGACTAAAAGCTTTTGATAAATTATAAACAAGGGGACTGAGGGATGTGAACGCGCATCAATGAGAGCGTTTTGCGTTTCTATCAATGGCCAGCAGCATAATTGTTGTGAGAAAACATCTAGCATATTTATGGGAAAAGTTCAATAGACTGGGCGTGTCCGTGGGCCTTTCCCCAACCACAATCCAGATTCTACCGGACAGGGGTCAAAAGGGTTTTTGTCTCTGGCGCCCATACACGCTTTTCGCACAATTCTCTATTGATTGAGACAGAGGAAGAAACGCTCGTAAATTGATCAATTTATGGGGCGAAACGATATCAAAATGCTGACAGTTTAATGCTCAATGCTATGGCATAGGCTATGCAAATTCTAAAAATAATCCCAGCCACTCATAGAAATCTCTGGCGGACAAAAGAATTAAGCGGCTGCAAACTTAAAAATAACTGACAAATATATTAAGAGCATAAATCAGCATCAGAATCGCCAATGGAGCGCGAAGAGAGCCTCAGTCTCTTAACAAAGACTCTGCGGAGCGTCTTCGGGTATTCGCTAGCAACTTTTATTATCATTTACCGCTTTACTCCGGTCACAACAAACCGAACTTGTGCACTAAGGAAAAAACATCTCATTTTTTACTTTTTTTTTTTTTATAAGGCTTTAAAACTAAATATTTATGAGGAAAACTAGCAATGAAAAAGCTAGCTAATAGCTTTCGGAAAAAGTACCAATTTGTACAATTGAAAAGATACTATAGCTGTATCCAATATGATTTAGGTTTCCCAAAGAGAAGTTTGATATAAGAAAAATTCAAAAATTCAATTTAGACATTCATCATTTACCAATTCTTCTTGGCTTATATATTTTTTGAGTGTAAATCCAAATCGAAAACCCCCAAAAATGATCAGTCTTTTTCGTATGCCTGCCAAGCTCTGCCGGCGTTGTCGTCACGCTCTCAGCTTACGCCAGCTTCGACGTCGACGCTGCTGTTGGCCAGCAACTTCTTGGACATGCTGGCCAAGAGCAAGATTTGGTTCAGTTCAGTTCAGTTTCAAGTGTTTGAGCGTTGCGTGCGTTTCGGAGCTGTGAGCGGAGACTCGAGCTTGCCCCAGCGTTTGGTTTCGTCTGTTTCTCGCCTCGACTTCCGTATAAGTTCATTTTTGCCGTCGGCCAGCGTTGAGAGCTTCCATCGCTTCCATCGGATCGCCTGTTGTCGTCGTGGTCGTTGTCGCGATTCCTGTCGCCCACCAAACGGAAGCCGCCAGCGGAAGTCGTCGTCGGCTAGAAACTGCGATACGGAGCTCAGTTTTTAATTAACCCGGTCCCGTCTTCGGCCCGGCCCGCGTTGCGCCAAATTAGTTTTTCAAGAATATTTCCCGAGCGGAGGTTCGCGTCAAATGCAAATGAAATAGTGGCTGGCAAATTTATGAATGCAGGCCGAGAATTATGTTTCGTCTGATAAGACGATGCGATGATAAATGTGTGTGAGAGTGTCTGTCTTCAACTGCCCAACAATCGGTGGCCATAAATAATGCTCATAATGGGCTGAGGCCTGGGAAAAACTAATGAAAATCTTTGTGTTCGTCCCAGCGAGTTCAACGCGAAACTAACAGAATCATATACTATATAGATATAGACGTCAATCAGCTATTGTACATATTTTTATGTGGATTTATTAGGCTGTTAAAATTGGATAAACTTTCCGACCACTCTGACCGATTTCAAACCGGTAAGTGCAAGATTTTTTTGTTGGCAGGTTCGTTGTCCAAGTTTTTAGTTTATTTTTCTCTTCATTTTTTCATCTATCGCACATTTATGCAAATATGTATATTAAAATCAAATCCCCGTGGTTTATATGTAGAAAGATACGCACATATATTAGTTTCTGTATGTTTTAATAGTTTTATTAGAGTCTTTGTGGAGAGGGACAAAACAACGCTGCCTTATCGGAGGCATAAATTTGGGTTTTATCGCTGGCGTTTTGTATTTGGAAAGTCATGACGCACAGACCATAGAAATCCCCAGCCAGTTATCATGACCAAAAACGCGCGAAACAAAGCGGAATTAAAATAAAATATAAAAAAGGATTTTGTCTATTCTGCCAGGTATTAATAAAGAATTCGCTTGTCTCTTTTGTGGCGAAAAGTATCTAATTGATTACGGATTTCACAAAGCGCATCTCTACGGTACTTTAATTGTTTCTTGTCGAATTCAAATACTCTCATTTGGAAGTGCCAAAATCGCGCTGAGGCGCCCCTAAACTCTTGGCCTGCTTAAATTAGTCACTCGGCGTGAGCAAGTCAAGCGCCTGGCCAGCAATAATTATATACTAATTTAGCGTATAATTAGCTAATTAGAACTGCGCAGAAACTGCCGCGAAACCCCAAAAAACGCAAACGCAGAAAAAATGTTCCGGCAACACCTTCTGTGCAAAAAAACCTAAAAAAAAGAGAAAAATTTGCAAAAATTTGCGGTTGCGAAAATAGAAAACAGCGAGCACCAGTTGAACCCTTGACAAGACCGAAGCTTGAAAAGCTATTAATCAATCGCAGCTGGCCGCATGTTCGGCTTGCTGTAAATAATAATGACTTCATAATTGATAATTTTGCCAGTTGCTGGAAGAAAGTTAGCCGAACTTGGCGGTAGCCGCTGCTTTAGCACAAAGATACGCTGACACATACAAGGCTCATAAATTAGCCATCAATGAATATTAATCAGTTTTATTTGTATAAATTGTATAAAAATATAATCAATAACAAGCGGGCCCTGCCAATAGAGAACAGCCACCATAAACGCACGCTTAAGTGTGTGCAGGCAGTAAATTAAAACGAAATCAATTTCAGATAAGATCCCAAATGGGAGCAACACAATTTTTCACCAAAGTGCCTACGAGGGAGATCCGATCGCTAGCCCAATGAAGAAAAAATCACACAAACTAACACACCAAATACAATTGGCGCCATGGCCCAGGGAAAAAGAAACACCTTAATGGCATTTAATTAAAACGAAGGCAATAAAAAACTCAAGGTATTAAAATTATTAAAGTGAAACGTCGCCACTTTAAATTAAAAACGACAAAAACGGATAATAAAAATAATAAAAGGCAATCTTAAATCAACGTCGCATTCAGCAGTGCAAACAAAAGACTTCGACAACGAACTCACGGCGAAGATCAGCTTAACTTAACTACACTCGTATTCAATTCGGTATTAACTCTTGATCACTGCTTTTTGGGAAACTCGAACACGGTAGGAACAAAAGACTTAGGAAGCGAACTTGTTAGCGCTCTCAGGCTAAAATTATGAATGAACCGGCAAAGTGGTTATGGCGTGCAACTAAAAATAGATAAAAATGTTCAAGAATACGGCAATCTTTTGTAAATCTTCTATGAATAGCATCAAGTGTCGAATGGGAATCAACTAAAAGGTGATAAGTTTAGAAGAAAAAAGCAAAAGATATCGAAATATGAATGAAGTTTTCTTTACCAAATTACTCTTGCTGGTTTTTTACCCAGCTTACATAGTTTCTGCTACTCTCGACCACTGAGTTGATTTGACTATTTGCTTGACGTAAAATTAGTCACTCATTTGTCCATTTAACATGACCAAATCAAACTTACAGACCAAGATTTTATTCAATTAACGGCAAATCTCGTATGTTTACCCAATGAAAAAAAAAAAAGGAAAAAGGAATTACATGGTGACAAATGAGTGAAATAAAAGCTGTTAATTTGTTTGGGGTGCCGGGTGAAATCACTGACTGATTGATTTTGTTTATCTTATTCGTTGGTATTCATTTTCTAATGTCTAATATTAATAATTAAAAGTCTGTTGGCCGTGTCAGGCGAACGAACAACAACATCGGATATGTGTTAAAGCGCCAAAAGGGAGGAATATGCAAATTTCAGCAGCGTCTCGTGTTAGGTATTCGGTGTTTTGGTGTTCATAATTTTCTATGAAAAATGTTGCTGCTGCTGCTGTTGCTGCTGTTTTCTCACATAAATCTGCCACAGGCGGATAGAAAATTTCACCCAAAAGAAACCGGAAGCTTGGCCGTCAAGTGGAATGGACCACGTCCCGTCCCCGTCCCGTCGTCTTTGGGTTGTCTAGGTCGCCTCGTCCGCTTAACCTTAGCGGGTGTTTATCGGCGGTAGAAATGTTCATAATTTCTTCGGATATAACCGTGTGAGCAGTATATACGAGACACGCAGCACACATTTCGCACTCCATTTTTTCTCACTTTCGCATAATTGTGTTACCCTTGTCTCGTTCCTCTTTCTGGGTCCGCGCTTCCACGCTCCTCATGTCAGACACTTTGTCAAAATAGCATTTGTTACGCTGTCAGTGCCAGCCACCAACGCACTGGACAGCAACAAAGGTAGCAACAGCGAAAAAAAGGCAACAACCACAGTAATAACGAGCGTTATCCAAGCATCATCATTATCAACTTTTAACCATCGGTTTATGTTGTTTGCCACCGAAATGATTTAATTTTGACAGACCTTTTTTTTTGCCCTCTGTGTGTATGTGTACCTACATTTTTTCTATTTTTTTATATTTTCTGTTTTTCTCGAGTTTCTTTCTCGACTTTTATGTGTGGGAGTTTTTGGATTTTAATTTAAATTTCTTTGTTGTTGTTCCTGCGGCTGTTGCTGTTGCTGGTGCTGTCTATTTTGGTCATAATTTTTGTCGTATTGTTGCTGCCTTTACGGCTTGAACTCTATTTGATATGCATTACCCCGACCTGGCTTTCGTCTTTGTTTATTTCTTCTACGACTTCTCCTTTTTGGCATTAAGTGCTTGTAAATTGGGTCAGTGGGAAGTTACACTTCAGTCGACGGCGATCACGGTTGCCTGTACTCTGCGACGTCATGTGTCATAAATTATTTGTGTGCTGAGAACTTTTGCCCGGCTCCTCCGATCTTGCAGCACCGCACTCTGAGCTCTGACATTTTCCGTTTTCCGATTTTTCGTTTGCTTTACTTATTTATTTATTTACTGCCAACCTTACGAATACCACACAATTTTTCCCCGACTCCCGGCCAGGCATCTTAAGTGCTTTGGCCTGGACCGCTTTAATTTAAGCAATGCAGCAACAAACACCTTTCCTGGTTTACGATCCCCTTAAAGTTCGTCTGAGCCGCTTCCCCATCCTGTTTGCTGCCAATTTGTGAGGCCAGTACATAAAGCAGCAGTATGCAGATGCAGATTCTCAGCGGATTTACAATAAATGTAACCCTGATTAGCTTTCAGCTCGGCTAGAGATGACTATTTTATTGTTCAGTTTGCTCGTAGGGGAGCCATAAAGTCTTGGCCATGGCTCATTGCATCCACATCCACATCCACGTCCACGTCCACGACCAAGTCCAAATCCAAGCACAGCCAGCAGTCAGGAAGCGCAATGTGCAATCTGAAGTGACTCCGGCTGTCTGCTGTCTAGACTCGAGACACACTCACATGTGCCAGCTGCACTACGCCGGCCAGATGAGCCGAACAAGTGCAGCCTGCTCCGGGATGGAGGATGCATTTGCTCGGCAGTGCCAGTGCTTGGCTTGATTTTTATTGACACAAGTTGCAGGCTGACTGCCGAGTGCCTGGCCGACTTTAGCACTCGGAAAAATATAGCAGTTTGTTTATAATTTAATAAAATGCAAGAAGGAATCTTATGATTTCCTCTTGAATACCTTTTAAGAATGCAATCTTTAAATTAAACAATTAAATTATCCTTTTATACAACAATGGAAATTCATCTTATAAGAAATATATATCATCAAGTTAAGCTTTTCTTTATCACAAAATATGTAACAGTTGAAATGGAATTTCAATTTCAAGATGGTTTAAATTTCTTTCAAGTGTGTTTGGCTGGCACACATTTTGCATATTTTATGAGTTCGTGTCGATGTCGTTTTGTGCAACGAGCTTTTTGTTCTCTGCTGCAGCTCTTTGCATAATTATTGTGCTACGAACTCTGTGTTTGATTCGAATTCTATGTAATGTCAGTGGCCCGCTACCGGGAGGTTGCTTTTAACGGCCGCGTTTAGTGCCCGCCGATGTGGTGATGGGGCGCTCGTGTAGCCCATCTGTAGGTACAAATACCCACGGGACATGTGACCCACTTGCGATTGCCAGTTGGCAGTTGCCACTTGCTGCCCGCTGCCTGTTGCCTGTTGCCTGCTCCCCACTGATCGCATCGCATAAATCAAGAACAGTCATTAATGTACTTGGCCTGTGCATACGATTTTCGGGCGAATCAACATTGCCTTGGATTTTCGTGGAGATTGACGGGGAAGACCCCCTGCTAAATTAGTTTTCACTAAATACACAGAGACGCGGCCATGTGTACATATATAGGGAGATACGAGTACACAGCGATTTCGCTTGTTAACATTAATAATAACTTGTAATTTGCCGTCGTTGTTGAAAATCACTCACTGCGAGGCAGAGGAAAAAACTGAAAAAAAACTAATTACAACATTTTTCACATGTGTGTGTAGGTAAACATTCATTCATAATACGGAATACCGGGCCAGCATAATGTAATGTAAATGAGAAAACCCGGAGAAGAGAAGAAACTTGACCAAAAAAGCGCAGACTTTGAAGATCTTCCGCATGGCTGGCTTCTGTCCCCACCCCGCATCCCGGCTCCACCATGGACCATGGATCTCGGCTCTGCAAGAGCTCCCCCCGAGAGTGATCTCAGTGTGTTGTTAATTTCTGTTCATTAAGTCAG